GTCGATCGAGGGACGAGGAGCGAGAGAAGAGGAAACCGAAGCCGGACATAGGAACAGAGGCGTACGTAAGCGTACGGCCCTGTGTGTTCGTACAAGCATCGACTCCGCTACACACCGGCCCAGCTTGTTTCTTATTGTTTACCCTATATGTCCCCGGAAGCAGGGCCAATCCGCCGGAAAGACGAGACCGTTAACCCGCACGATCCCGAGACCTCGCGGCCGTGCATGCCAACTCTGCATTATTGGCTTTTTGTATGCTTATGTTAAGCGGTGGACGGAACGCGCTGCGGCATAATGCTCTCGGATCCTTGCCACCTCGTCGATTTTTCATTCCGATACTTTTCGACCCTGATCGTGCGTTCTTTAATGGAGAAATTAACGCGGCGAGTCTGAGAGAGGAATCGGTGTCTCAGAGTCCTCTGAAAGACGAACAAAGAAATTAACGCGGTGAATCTGAGAGAAGAATGGGTGTCTCAGAGTTCTGTGGAAGACGAAGATATTATTTCAGAGACGATTTTTACTTCTGCTACTTTTCGACCCTGATCGTCTTTAATGGAGAAATTAACGCGGTGAGTCTGAGAGAGGAATCGGTGTCTCAGAGTCCTCTGAAAGACGAACAGAGAAATTAACGCGGTGAATCTGAGAGAAGAATCGGTGTGAATTGATCGAAGAATTGGAAGACGAAGGTTTTACTCCAAACCTTCTGTCTCTTATAGACAGGATGGCATAATTCTCTCGGATTCTTGCCACCTCGTCGATTTTTCATTCTGTTAACTTTTGACCCTGATCGTCTATTTTTCAATGCAGAATTAACGCGGTGAATCTGAGAAAAGAGTCGGTGCCTAAGAGTTGTCTGAAAGACGAAGATTTTATTCCGAAGTTGACTTTTCCTTCTGTTACTTTTCGACCCTGATCTTCTGTTCCCCAACAGAGAAATTAACGCGACGAATTTTAAAGAAGAATCGGTGTGAATTGATCGAAGAATTGGAAGACAATTTCACTTCTGTCTCCTGCGTTCGATTAAACACAGATTAGAATTACACACGTTAATCACGAGAAAATGATAATTTTGCTAGTGCACAGTGCATCGATGAAAACTCTCCTGTCTTACAAAAATCGCGGCCAAATTGTCTCTCAGGTGTCTTCGAAAAACGAAGATTTTCATACCTTCTGTTCCTTATATTCGATTATTTCCCAATAACACACGTCAATCCCCAAAGCAACAAAAATTTCGCTGCTACAAAATACAGGTGAATATTTGACACGTTAATCGCGAAAACACGAAAATTCCGCTGATAGACGCTGCATCGATAAGAACTCTGCTGCCTTACATAAGTCATGTCCAAGTGGTGGTTCAGTAGGACTGTCATTATCGATGCAACAAAACAATCGTTACTCCAAGCGTACAATTAACGAGTGGATGACTCCGTGAGCCGGGAAAGAGAGGAGGCTTGAATCTCGCAAAATAAATCTTGTTTATTATTCACTCCGAGATAACGTATCGAAAGAAATGTAATTTATTGAAAATACTCGCTTCTTCGTTGTCACAATCACGAGATAAGCCAGTTTCAATTTCTACTGTTCTCTACGATATCACGCGAATGTTGAAGAAAAGGGAGGCGTTCGAACATGCAAAATGCACGTGTTTCACTTAAGTATAGTGTAATTAGAGTTAAAGTACGAATTAGCCTTGTTGATTAATGCAACGTCGTCGTTAGCTGGCTTAAACTATTCGATGTTTCAGCGACGTTGCGCAACCCGTGGTTAAACGAAAGGAAATTGATTTCATTAATAACCGTGTGGTAAAGTTGAATTTGATTAGCCAGGGAAACGAGGAATAGCCTGTGTCGCGGTAATCGAAACGTTGCACGCTATCTTCGCCTATCAATTCGTCGTTTGCATTAATCAAACGTTAAGTTCTCAGACGAGAGTTTCCGCTGAAAAAAAAAAAACACACGCACTGTTTATCTTGACAAATGGAATTTACGCTCCGTGGAGAAATTGAGACAAATCGTGTAACACGACGCATCAATCAATTCCGCGGGAAATTTAAATATCTGTGCCTAACGTGTTGTGTTAAGGTAATGAAGTTACACTTCGTTCGGTGTTATTGAAGAAAGAAAATTACTTCAATATTTATGAACTCTTCGTTCGTAGTAATTTCAAGAGAATATTATTCCCGATTTTCTAGCGTGCCGAGGACAAAGTGACATAAATTGTCAACTCCGAATATCTACCAATCATACGTTACATCGATAATTCTAAAAATAATTTTAATTTCCCTACTGTATGGACGATTATAAATCCCTTATCCACGGTAATTGGAAAAGAAATTATTCGTCATTTCCTACTGTGTAAGGAACGAAGTCACTCGGATTACCAACTCCGAAACATCCATCAATCACGCATTAGGTCACTTCTGAAAGAAAAATTTCATTTCCCTACTCTATCGATAATTATGAATCCCTCGTTCACAGTAATTGGGAAAGAAATTACTCTCCATTTCCTACTGTGTAAAGAACGAAATCACTCAGATTACCAACTGCAAAGTATCCACAAATTCAATTCTCGTGAAATCCACTATTTACAATATTTACTAATCCAATATTTACAAATCCCTCACCCACGGTGATTTAAAAAATAATAATTCCTCATTTCCCACTATATAAAGAACGAAGTCACAAAAATTACCAATTCCAAAATATCCACAAACTCAATTTCCCTCGATTTCGCGTTAAATTAAAAAAAAATTCACGTCGCAGTACGTTAAATTCCGCATCAATTCCACGCTAATTTCCCCGAAAAAAGGGTCGCGTAGTTAATTCCCGAAGAAAGAAAAGAAAAACGAAAGACACGACCGAAGAGAAGGAAGAACAATGTACCGTAACGTCGATCACGGGGTATCGAGGACGGATCTTAGGACCCACAGGTGCATCCCCGATATCTTCCGGTAATTGTAATCGCGCGGAGGAGTCGGCGGTTCCGGTGTGGACCGGCGGTAGGTCTCCGTAAAGGAAGACCCGGTGCGCGAACCGACTAGACCGAATGGATGCTAAGCAAGCTGTAGTACCCGATCGCTTCCTTGCATACGAAGCAGTCTCCGCCGGAAGTGCGTCACGCGGCAGTATAGATTCCACCACGAGGTGACACCAACCGCGAACCAAGCAGAACGACGTCGTCGTCGTCGTCGACTCGTCACCGGGTCGTTCGATGCGTGACCGTGAGTCGCGTTTCTCCCCGGGCCAGATAACGCGAAAACACGCGTAGAAAAATCGATCGAAACCGCTGATACGCACCGGATACCGCTTTATCGTTTGTGGCAAAAAAAAAAAAAAAAAAAAAAAAAAAATTTAAAAAAAAAAACACAAATGAAAAACAGACACATACACTGTGTTAAAAGCAATTTTCCCGTCACTAGTTCGCAATATGTTTACAAAATTCCCGCCGTGTAGATTATTACACCGGTTTGTTCGTTCCTATCGCTTTTGTAACAAAACGAAAAGAAAATAGCTACTATTTGTATTGTCGCGATCGAAACATTTTTAAACGTGTGTATAGTATGTACGTAATACTACTCCGACTAACGAATTGCTCAACGTACAAAAGTGAAAAATATTCATTCAATTATTTCCGTGGTTCTCGAATTGTTTACAGTGGTCGGTGTCATTAACGAGTCGTAAAATCACATACTTTCGTATCTCTAAGCTGGACGATAACGATAACAGATACAGCGAAGTGGGAAAAAAAGAGGAAGAAAAAAAAGACGGGGGAAAAGGAAAAATTGAAAAATTGAGCGAACCAGGGGGACACAGAGATAGCTGTAACTAATTATCGTTCGAGTTGGACGGGTCCGCCACCTCTTTCCTCCTCCCAGCGTGTACCGAACGAAAAAGGCGCGAACGAGAAACTCCGAATTATTGGTAATCTCGCCCAGGCGGCGATAATACGATTCCGATTTATCAAAGCGGGCGAGACCTTTCACCGGTCGCATCGTGACATCGTGACACGCGCTGACCGCGCCGGAGCGAGACTAAAAACGCCCAAGGCCTGACAGTCCCGGGTCAGCGAAGCGCTAATTTATAGGAATGTTTATGTGTTTCTCTGGCCTGTTATCGGGGCAGCGCGCGTCGACACCACCGCGACCGAGTCGAATGGAGAACACGCGTCGGAGTAAAAGGACTTAGCTTCGTCTTCTTCTTCTTCTCTCTCTGGTGTAAAAGATCGCCGTCTGGCGGTGATCTCGTGCGAAAGAAAACACGAAGATTCGTCGTTACGACGTCCACGATAGAGATAATTTCAGAAGAGACGAGAAAAATTTTCCGCCCGATGTGTCGCCTCTACGTTTCCCTTTCGACCAATGACTAATTGCATCGCGCGGAGCAACGACGCGTTTGAAGGATTGAAGAAAATGGTATAACCACCTCCTTTTTCCTCCTCCTTCGCCATTTCTTCTTCTTCTTCTTCTTCTCGCCTCGTGTTGTTCCGTTCCGCTATCTGTGTTCGACCGTGTCCAAGACTTTGTAACGACACTGCGTTATCGTTCCCCGCGACGTTTTTCTTTTTTTTTTTTATCGCGCGCACGCTACTTAAAATAATTACGGAGGTTACCTAGCGCTCGGCCGTCGGAAACGTGTTTCATTGTTTCGACGTGAATCGAACGAGGAACATCTTTGTCACCGTGTCGAGCATAAATACCGGTACTTTGGACGGTGCGGATTTAAAAGGACTTAAATGCGCGCGGTATTTCTCTTTAAATAGACTATAAAGGTGGATCGCTGTAATTGCTCGAGAGACTATGAGCAATTTCGAATTCGCCGCGAATATCGGATACTGTAAATTACTCGGCGGCAATTCCTTTTGAATAGTTTATTAAGGTGAATCCAGTAATTTCGAATTTGGCGCGGAAATTACTGTATATTTCTTGGACCACTGTTTCGTGCTTTTATCGATGAATTAGAGACGGTAGAATGGTAGTAAGGTAGATAGGTTGGAAAACTCACCCGTTGAAGGGATAACTGGCGAAGGCAGCGTCGTAAGGATGGTACACGGATGGATAAGGCCATGCTGCCGCGGCTCCTGCCCCGAGATTCTCCTTCAGATCGAGGCCAGCAGCCTGTAAACCGAACAATTATACTTGTTAATAACGTGGCGACGCCCGGCATAAGTAATTAGCAGATGAAACAGCTCGTTCGGCTATGAAAAAGAACGAAATTGGTGGTGCTATCTTCCGAATTCGAGGCGTGATTAAATAATATAATCTTTGCTCGTAGAAAGTCTTGGTTTTTTTGGAGAATGTGTATTTATTTTTTACTATTTTTGTAATTAGTCGTTATAAAATTGGATCCAAGAGCTGTAATGCATAAACAGAGAAATAAATAATAATAATATTAATACTGAATTAACAGCAATGTTATCATAAGTACCAAGTGTAAAAAATTAAATAAAAAAAGGAAGATACAGTGACTTTAGTGCCATCAATTTGCACGCGAAGGAAACTTCCGCACACAGATCTGATAATTGTGAAAAAATGTGAAAAGTGTTGCCTGAAATAATTCTACATCGATCGATAAGAAAGCGTGCTTAAAAATTTCAATTAAGCCTCTATCGTCGTTGATATTCAGAAGCGAAAAAGCATCGGAGTGTTTAACCGACGGAAATAATCCAGTTTTATAAGGACGGGCACGATTAATCGGCGTCCGTTCGCGATCGATCACCAATTCATCGGCGATAATGAGAAAAATGACTGGCAAAGCAGCGATAATAATAATTAGAATCGTTGTGTGCCGCTGTTGTTTGTTTCTGTAACCCGTAACCCCGACGGTTCGACTCCATATAGTATTATACCGGCCGCGTTTAAACCTCCATCAACCGGTGGAATAATAGAACCATAGAACCCTCCTCCTCCACCTCCTCCACCCCCACACCCTACACCTCTGCTTGCCCCTCGAATAATTCCGTCTCACTCGCCTTGTTCCGTATGCATTAGTCTTGCATTAATGGCATTAATTATACACCGTGTTCGAATGGCACAGTCATCGCCGGGCCAGCCGTAATTAGCACTCGAAAATAGCGGACGAACGGAATTCTCGATGAAGGAAATTCGCGCCACTGGTACAACGTGTATTCGAGACACGATTCTGAAAATTCCACGCTCACGGCACCAACTATGCTGGCTAATTTCACAACGTGTTCGCAAATTTGCCTATGACGGTGGATATTTAAACCCCCATCCTCGTGACTTTTTCAGTTAGCGTTTCGTTGCGTCGCGGTCTTCGCTCTGACAGATAGGCAAAAAAGAAGGTGGAAAATTTTGCAAAATTTCACTCTGAAAATATGACAGTCATCTGACTCGAAAATTACAGGTAAACGGGGGAAAGAAGGAGGGGATCGTGAGAGTGATGGTGAAACAAATGGTACCCAAAGTTTACCCGAAAAATGTAGATTCTTTGCTAAGGTCTAGTAGGCGAAAAAGAGAGTCGAAAATTTTGAAAAATTTTACCCCAAGAATGAGTAATTCGACTAACTCGAAAATCACAGATCGATGAAAAGAGGTGAGAATTGTGTGGTTAAACTCAAATAAGCAAAAAAGAGTGTCGACAATTTTGCAAAATTGCACCCCAAAATATAATACTCAACTAACTCGAAAATCACAAATCAGAGAATAGAGAGGGAGAGAATCGTGAGGAGTCAGAGTGAAACAAACGGTCCCCATTAAAAACCCTACTCAAAATTTGACCCCAAAGATATAAATTCTTCTCTAAACTCTAATAGACAAAAAGGAAAACTGAAAATTTCGCAAACTTCCACCCCAAAAATATACTCAAACTCAAAAATCACAGATCAACGAGAAGAAGAGAGGATCATAGAGCACTAAAGTGAAACGAACGGTCCCCGTCAACCCTTTCGCTCCCAAATTCCTAACCACACCCTTAAAATTCGTTTCGCCCACATCACCACCAAAATTCATCTCACCAAATTAAAACTGAAACATGCAAAGGATTAAACTAAGGCGTAAGTACCCCCCAAAGGCTTCAACATAAACCCCTACAAACCCCAACGTCAACGAAACTGTTAAAAACAACTATACTCAAAATTCCATCCGAAAAATCCACTATCCACCACCCAGGAAAATCACAGACGACCGAGTGGAGAGAATCGTGGGGGGTCAGGGTGAAACGAACGGTGCCCATTAAAAACGGGACTGAATGGCTCGGTGGTACTCGAGTCTCGCGGACATTAGCCGCGAGTGAGAGAAGGTACCGGTACCGCGCAACCTGTGTGTGCAATCTGCTGCCCGGTTACGAGTAGAGGCGAGCAGCACAGCACAGCACAGTCCATACGCTCGCCCCTTAAGCTCGATCATAAAGAGCGACGATAACAGGCCTGGCCCGGCGACGGCTCGAACACGACAGTGTCCCACTGTTACGGCAGGACGGATTCATAAATTTACGCTTCGCGGCTATTTTCTCCGTGTATGCGCTTTGTGTGTGGTCCGATAACCTCTCTCCGACCGACGAATACAGCCGATTGCCGATCCCAGTTCGCCGCTGCTGCTCCTTCTTCTTCCTCCTCCTCCTCCTCTTCTTCTTCTCTCGCCTGTATTAACATCACACTGTCCCGGACCTTTCGCCGCGATAACATCTCGATTATTGTAGAACGCATCGCGAGAGAAGGTACGCGGAAAGAACGCGGCTCTCTTCGGTGGTTGCGGTCTTTTTCGGCGAAGACGCAAGCGGAGAAAAAGTCACAAGAATCTCCTCTCTCGACTGTTCGTTTAGAAAACGATACATCCCCTTATCCGTTGATAAAACTTGTCGAGATTCGAGATAACGGCCGTGTGATTCGCGCGGAATGGTATTTTAACGGCGGTACAATCGGTAGGATTTATATATTAAGAAAGGAAAGGTGGGTCGGGAGGGATGTATTCGGTTCGGAGAAAAATTCGCGAGGGATTGGTTGGACGTTGCTCGACGAAATTAATTACAGCGGATGGTAATAAAGCGAGGAAGGATCTTCGAGAGCGCTCGTTCGACGCAGTAAAACGAAGTTTTAAGGCTGCTGCTGGAAACGCCGCGCCGTATGAACATCGAGCGCGAGCCGCGCGCGCGTTGCGTTGACGTTTATTACGCGGGAACA